GACGCAGAGACCTCCGAGTCGGAATCTTCCGAGCGCAAAGCCCACTCTGCGAGGCCGATCCACTTCCCAAGTGCTGGAGTCCGGCCCTTCCCCTTAGGAGGAAGCCAGGAAGCCCCAACCGAGTGATTTTTCTTTGTTGCATTGGCAGTTCTTGTGACACCCAAAATCGCCTCCGAGAATTGAACGAGAGCGCTGCAGACCGCAGCAAGGTGCTGTCTCTGGAGGCCACACTGCCAATCGAATTCCACGGCCCGGAGTTTGGAAGTCACGGGCGAAGCAACGTTTGAGCAGACTTGAGGGAGCTGGCAATGCGCCCCAAGCATGCAAAGCCAGAAGCATTCAAAATCCGCCCGCCCAAGCTCATGGACCAGTTGGAGCTCGATGCTCGTCCGAGATTCATGCGCAGCTTGGGATTCGTGAGGTTGACACATGGCCTCCAGCAACAGGGGAGATCCTCGGCCCGAGAGAGGGCCGGGTCGGTGTGGAAGACCCATCCCTGAAAGCACGAAGAAGATCTGGCCATGGGAGGCATGGAGCATCATGGAGCAGGAACGTGACAGGCAGAAAATAGCTGCAAAAACTGCCGGATATGTGAGCCCAAGCTGAAGGTGGCGGGGGACGACGTGCAAGCAACGGGACAAGCCCTGCTTCTTCTTGCATCATCTGTCAGAGCAAGTGAGCTGGTACAATCATGTCCGTGTGAACCGTTCTTTCGGATGGACCACGCCGAAAGGCATTCGGAGAAGCACAGCTCACATGTGAAGCCATCCGCCAGAGCGAGAGCCCATGACACCTCAGCAGCCAACAGAACATCTCAAGTCAGGCACATGTTGGGGCAAAATATGGCTCGCGAATGCTCGCACCACTCGGGCAGTGTGGTCAAAATCTTGCACTTTTGCTTCAGAAGCAATCCTACGTAGCGTCCTGGGTGTTGCATTGTGCCTCTGGGTACGTTGCAGGCGGCCCGTTCGTGGCGGCTTGGTTGAGCGGCTGACGGAGCTCGCTCGGCGGGAGCGCTTCGGAGAGGCGGCGTGCAGAATGTACAGGTGAGTCTACTTTACAGCATGCAGATACGTCCTAAATCGCCATCGCCGACAGCCCACAGTCCCATGATCAGCTGACCAGCCCAGAAATAGCTCGGTTGAGTTGAGACAAGGCCCCTGAGTTCGAGACGGAACAGTTCCTCGGCAGAACGGGTTTGCGAGCGATATCTTTGATGTTCAAGCATGCCGATGTGCGAGGTTGAAAGCTGCCGCCGCTGTTTTTTGCACGCTGAGCTGTGCGGGAAGGTGCACCTGCAGCTTCAGGCTTGACACTGGTGGGCTTGTCGACAAGATCTGTGGGAGAGAGGGAGGGGAGAAGCAAGACATGCCAATGGATTTTGCCTCTCCACCGTTGGATATGCCTAAGGCCTGGATTGCAGATTACCCTGCGCGATGGCATCGAGACGGTTTTGGTGGACGAGGCCTTCTGCGATACGGTCGGAGGAGCTCTTGTTCCAGCGGAAGCTTTATGTTCCGAGTTTCTTCAATGTGTTCAGGCAGCGCAAGCAATCGAAGCCGAGACTTTAGTTGCTCGCCTCTTTTTCATCAGACTCGTGCTGGCAGAAGAGCTTCAGTGACTCTGGTCTACTCCATGTATGAAGTTTCTTTTTTTATTCTCTCTCTCTCTCTCCCGCTGACCTTGCGCCGCAAGGGCCCGAGCTTTTGTTGCATTGCATGGGGCGCTGCAGACTGACCTCAGGTTCCCCTTTGCTTGCAGCCAAAGCAGCTGGTACTCGTGGGAGCTTCTTGGCCCAGGTTTCTCTGCATTTCGGTCGGCTTTTTGGAAGGCCCCGCAATAACGTGTCCTTGCGGGCTCGCGCATCCCTGAATAAGATGTGTTTCCAGTTGAAGTTCGAATGCAGCGGCTCTTTGCAACAACTATCTCGTGCTGGTCTGAATTCAGATGCTTGCAGTCCTAGAGGCCTGAGGTCGGGAGGAAGCATGCTTAGATGCTTTGAGTGTGAATGTCAGCGCGTGAGGATCCGATGCAGTTGAGCGCCACTGTCTGTCACTCCGACATGGCGAAGAGCGCACCTCGCTCAGCGAGAGGGCAGAGAGAAGTGGAGAGCTTCCCAGCCGGAGTCTTGAGCCAGATTGGCTTTGGGTAGTGAATGCATCCCAGCCAGTAAGGGCCCAGGGCCAAACGCATGATCTGAGGCACATTTCTGCCGGTCCATGATGGAGCGGCTGATGGGGCTTGGACAGGACACTTTTCAAACGGCTGATCTGCATGCCAACGGGATGTATCTGTAAGAAGTGAGTGCCTAATCAGAGTAACGCATAAGGGTAGCTGCTGAAGCTTAGATACAGTATCTACCATCCTATCTACCTACTTCCCTACCTACCTACATCTCCACCTTTTGCTGTCTGTCAAGTGAGTCTATCTATCTACCTATCCATCTGAACTATCTATCCAGCGAGCCATCCATCCATCTATCCATCCATCTATCCATCCAGCCATCATCCATCCCTCCATCCATCCATCCAGTCATCCAGCCATCCAGCCATCGAGCCATTCATCCATTCAGCGATCTATCTATCTACCTATCTATCTATCTATCTATCTATCTATCTATGTATCTAGCTATCTAGCTGGCTGGCAGTTTATCTATCTATCCAATCCATTTACCTATCTGTTTATCTATCTGTAGCACGACTTATTTATCTATCTGTCTGTCCATCTATCTATCTGTCTATCCTTCTGTCTGTCAGTCTATGTTTTTACATGTACACAAACACGCCGACATACATACATACATACATACATACATACATACATACATACATACGTACATACGTACATACGTACATACGTACATACGTACATACATACATACATACATACATACATCACATACATCACATACATACATACATACATACATACAAACATACATACATACATACATACATACATACATACATACATACATACATACATACATACGCGCTTACATACGTACATACATACATACCTGCTTACATGCATACTTTTCCATAAACGTACGTATGTATGTATACAGATTATTGTGGTACGGTTGTATGCGCCCATCGCACTGAACGAACACACGAATCTGTGCGTGCACGCATGCTCAAAAGCATGCGGATATGGATATGGATATTATGAACATCAATGATGACAATAAGCCGCTTCATCGGGTTCAAGAGCAAGCCCGTCCTCAAGCTGATACGGTTATTGGTCTTGCAAAACGGCAAGAGCAAACCAGAACGGTAACTTCGAGCTCCGTGTAAAACGATAATAGTGGAGCATGTTAAAGTAACAATAATCGTAGCGGTCAAGCAAGTTTGAGGCTTTTCCAAGCTCCCTCGAACGCATGTGTGTATGTTCATGTGTATGTACGTGCCTATACATATACATATTCATAATCCTACGCAGAAATGCAGTTTGTGTGTGCTCGGGTATGCATGTGCATCTGCACATGCTCATGTGGTTGCACCTGTGTACTTATAGGTATACATGTATGTATATGTATAGATACGTATATGTACGTGTATATATATATATATCTGTATATATATATATATATATACATATATATATATATGTATACACTTGTGTGTGTATCTGCATGCGTTTGTGTACATGTGTCTGTCTAAGTCTATGTCTGTGTCTATCCTGTGCCTGTATCTATGCCTGTGTCTATGTCTATGTTCGTATGTATGCATACATACATACATATATATATATATATACATATATATATATATATATATGTGTATGTATACACTCACTGACACACGCACAAAGGTTATATCTTGATTTCTGCTGAGGAGCACATCATGCTCCAGGAGCAGTACCGTATGCACCCAGAGATCAGCCGCTTCCCCTCTGCTCGATTCTACGGAGGGCGGCTGGTGGACGTTCTGGCTGGAGGTTCTCAGGATTCCAAACACCAAGCTTTGCCGCCATACGCCGTCGTGGATGTGGCTGGTACTGAGGAGGTCTACCACCAGGAAAGCCGCATCATCAACAGACGTGAGGCAGAAGCTCTGGCTCGCGTTGCAAAGCACTTAGCCTCTGTTGCTTGCATGGGGAAGGGCGGGCTCGTGGCACGGCGCTGCCCCCCTCTTGTGGTCATCACCTTTTACAATGGCCAGGCTGCATTGATCCGAAAGTTGCTTGTGAAGACAGGCATTGAGGTGCACACCGTCGATAGCTTCCAAGGATCTGAGGCGGAAGTCGTTCTGCTGTCCTTCGTTCGGGCGAATTCACAGCGTCGCCTGGGCTTCCTTTCTGAGTTTCGGCGCCTGAACGTGGCTTTGACCAGAGCCAAGCACTCGCTCATTGTCTTTGCCAATGCTGCTCTGCTGAAAGGATCCTTTTCGGATGATGTGACGGCGCTCTTTGAAGATGCCTCCCGACGCAAGTTGATCTGGAGGGAGGAGCAGCTCAGTCAACTTCTCTCCTCTACGTCTGGCGGCCGTCAAGCCGCACCGCCGGTTAAAGAACAGCTGGGGCAGCGCAGCCCTGCGAAGCGCGCCTTTTCAAGCCCTGAGTTCACAAAGGGCAAGAACGTATGCGGAAGAAACCGGCAAAGGCAGCCGGAGTCCAAAGCTTTCACGGATGCGCCTCTGAAGGAGCCGCTGCAGACGAGGAGGCCAGGGGTGGGGAATTCAAAATCAGCGACGTCAAAACGTGCCTGAACGTAGGTGCGCGATTGCACGAAGCCTCAAATCATTTCTGACAGGCCAGCGCCTTGCCGCGCCCGACGAAAGCCGCGAACGAGATGCAAGGGCAAACGAAGAAAAAAGAGCGAATTAACAGCATTCTGCGCCATCTTTGAAAGTGGCAGTCGACGGCAGTCGCTTGGGTATGCCCGGTTCATTCTTGGAACTGTGGACGCATTGGCAGCTGTATGCTTAATGTTATATTATATTATATTACCATATATTATATTATATTACAATAAAAAAGTTGTTGCCGCTTGTCTGCAGGTAGCGGCCAATGCAGGCCAGCCTGGCTGAGTTGACCCATCAGATGAAGTGAAGAGCCTTGAAATCTGACCATTCCAAGAGCCTGACCGAGCAGGAGTTGCTAGTCCTGCTGAGATGGCTGAATTGCAGAAAGTTCTGTTTGGTAAAGGTTTTTTTTTTTTGCAGGGGGACTGACTCCAAATGCCATCTGTGCATTGCAACGCAAGACAAGTTTCTAAGTCACCACATGCAAGCAGCAAGATAGGATTCAAGCTCAACTTCGATCGAATCGACCGTGTGAGACAATTCAATTCTCGAACAACCTCAGCATCATGGCCGTGGACTGAACAGCTGAGGGTCCTTCATGCAGGCCGCGATGCGGAAGGCCCTCAATTGCCCACGCGCGGCAGGCGCAGGATCTGGCCTACAGCTGTCAAATCCGCGAACATGTGAAGCTGTCCACAGGGAAATTCATCACGCCTACTGTAGAAGTTGTGAGGCCTTGCGCAACAGGGATGCCAGCAGCGGCACTGGCAGCCGCCGCCGAGGCGTGGTCTCGATCACTGGACGGTTGTCGGACTTACGTAAGGGCTTGCCCCACACCCCATAGGT